GCTTCAAAGCCAAGTGATTTCTTTAATCAGGGCATTAACAACCTGATTGTAAAATGGAAAAGCATCATCGAGACTATTTCATTTAATAAATGTTTTGTTTTGATATATAAGTTGTTCGGGTTTTTTCATCTAAAAAAAAAAGCATTAATTTCTTGACGACCTAATATTTACTTTTATTTATTCATTTATGACATTATTTTTATTCTAAGGAGTGTTTTCCATTGTTAGCTTTGTATATGAAATCAGGACTAGTTAATTTCCTAAGTTTACCAAACCTCGTGAGGTATCACTGGGATCTTTGTATATGGATTCAGGACTATTACTGACATCTTTGTATATGGATTCAGGACTAGTTAATTTCCTAAGTTGGACAAACCTCATGAGATATCACTGGGATCTTTGTATATGGATTCAGAACTAGTTAATTTCCTAAGTTGGACAAACCTCATGAGATATCACTGGGATCTTTGTATATGGATTCAGGACTAGTTAATTTCCTAAGTTTACCAAACCTCGTGAGGTATTACTGACATCTTTGTATATGGATTCAGAAGTAGCTAATTTCCTAAGTTTACCAAACCTTGTGAGGTATTACTGAGATGAATTTAGGAATAGTTAATTTCGTAAGTTTACCAAACCTCATGAATTATTCCTGGGATCTTTGTATGTGGATTCAGGACTAGTCAGTTTCCTAAGTTGGACAAACCTCATGAGATATCACTGGGATCTTTGTATATGGATTCAGGACTAATTATTTTCCTAAGTTTACCAAACCTCGTGAGGTATTACTGACATCTTTGTATATAGATTGAGGACTAACTAATTTCCAAACCTCATGAGGTATCACTGGCATCTTTGTATGTGGATTCAGAACTAGCTAATTTCCTAAGCTTTCCAAACCTTGTGAGATATCATATCATAAAATATCATAAACAGCAAAGGGCCCAACTGATGAATTCATGCATACTGATGCATTATGCAGATATTACATGTCTTACTCTCCTATAGTGTACATTTTTTACTTACAAAATTCATGATGCTCCTAACTTCTGATTCTGGAATTTAGTAAATCTGATTGAGGTCATGTGATAAATTGCAACCTGAGTTGTTACTTTTTTGTAGCTTGATTAGTCAAAGAACTTATTTGCTTTTTCGTGAAGTTGTAACATGTACTATTACTGGGAAGGTTTTTTTGACTATTTAGTAAAATTAATGCAGTCCAGTAACAAAAATGAATTAGTTTATTTCTACCTTAATGTTTGCTACAGCCACAAACAATTGTAGGTCTAACTTCAAATACATGTATCAACAGAACTTCTGAGAGTAAAACTAGATACACCTAGTTTAATTAGCTTTGATTGATAATCAACTGCATAACTGAATAAGTGATTGAATAGCAGAATTGACATAATAACTCTCACTACTAATGATGTATAACTTTTATGATACTGAACTCAATTAACCAACCAATGATTACTCACACTGATATTCTACTCTTATTTCTACATAATCCAGGAAGCTTTTCCTTTCTTAACTTTCATAAAGTTTCTAGATCTTCACATCATTATATCAGTAAGCTCCCTTTAGCAAAGGTCTAAATTAAAACATCTATAACAATAAAATAGCATATCTGTTAGTCTCTCTGTCTGTGACCACCATAGCTCCAAGAGGAAACAACCTAAAAACCTGAAATTTTGCACCCATACTAAGTGAATCCTGAAGGTGTGCAACTGGGTATTATTACTTATCTTATCCACATATGTTCATCTTTTTAATGAGGCAAGCTAATGAAAAAACCATGTAGAAAAGAAGTGGTTTCCTATATTACAAATAGGAATCACAGCCAGCCAGCCAGCCAGACACATGCATATGTGCGTGTCTGTGTGATTGCTATAGCTCCAAGAAGAAAGAAACTAGAAACCTGAAATTTTGCACCCATACTAAGTGGACCCTGAGGGTGTGCACCTGCATATTATTCTTATCCACATAGAAAAGAAGTGGTTCCTTATATAACAACTTCTAATACATATATATAGAAAAACCAGTGCATTTTGATAATAATGCATTCCAACAATGGCTTTTATGTCATGTTGGTTAGCAATAAAAGTATATAGGTTATACTTTCATGCTAAAATGGGTTAAGAATACACACACTACCAACCTAATAACCCAAGCAAAGCCGGGTACTTTCACTAGTTGAAAATATAGCTCACAAAAGTGGAATAGTTGCATAGTGTCCTTCTTGAACTTGTGATTAGGAGATGCCTTGTGGCTGATATATGTAGC